TCCGCGAGCTGTCCTTCAGCCCCCGCCAGGGGCCGCCACTGGGGCTTCAGGAGCCGCCGCTGCGGCTTCCACGGGCAAGACCAGCGCAAGCGGGCCGCTGCCGCGCTCGTGGTCCTGGAGGAGGCGCTGCGACTTGTTGTGGGCGAACCGAGAGAAGGCCCCCCATCGCCCTGCGCCATCTCGCTGCTCACGTTCTGGAGATACCCCGCGACGACATCGGGGTAAATCTGGCCGCGCCGGGCCCTCATGTCGTCATCCCACGCGCGTTTGAACCGCCTCCAGCTGCTGTGCCGACAGGGCGCCCTTGAGCTTCTCCAGGTGTGTCAGCGCAGCCATTATGGACCCCTTCTTCTTCAGGCCACCGGCGCCGTACTGGAGAACCATGTGTTGTGCCGCCACTGCGGCCTCGACACCTTGTGCCTTTTCCAAGGCCGCCTTCCCCTTGTTGTCGGCGATCACGATCTAACGCTTGATGCTCCGCAGCGTGGTCGTCATAGCGTTCGCCTCCTCGATCATGCGGCGGCGCTTGGCCTGCTGCGCCTCCTCGTGGGCCCGCTGGGCATTGAGCGCTTCCAACAGGCCGTCGCCCACTCGAGCAAGCTCACGCATGCGCTTCAGGGTCGCCCCCATCTTGCGGCGGCCATCCTGCGCCCCCTTCACGCAGCCCGCCCCCCGCAACACGTTCCCCGCTTCCTCCAGGGCTTGCGCGGTCGAGGTCGCCTGCGCGACCTTCTCGGCAGTCTCAGCGTCCACCGAGACGTCCTGGAGACGTCGCCCTTCTGACGGGCCACCGCCTTCGGCCGCCACTGCGGCCTGTTGCTCGCCTTCGCCGTCGGAATCGCCGCGCGCGTCCTCGACGACCTCGCCCCGCCCTTCCATTTCTGATGCGTGGGGGTCGAGATCGGAATCGTCCGCCAACTGCTCCACTGTCTCCAGCCCCTGCTCGGCGTCCCCTTCGCGGTCCTGGCCCAACGTCTCATCGCCGAGCGCCTCGAGGATGCGGCCCGCTTGGCTGTTCTTCTCGTAGGGGTGCACGAGCCGGAAGACATCGTTGTTACTCCACTTCAACCGCCTCTTCTGGCACTCGCCCCGCACGTCCGCCACTGCGGCGTTGACCTTGTCCCCGAGCCCTCCGTCGGCCCACAAATCCAATGCTTCGCGGCAAATCTCGAGGTCCTCGCTGCCATCGAGGGGAACGCGGACCCCAGTTTTCAGGAACCCCTTTGCCGCGTCGGCGTGCACCTTCCTCTCTTGGAGCACTTGCACCATGAGATCGATGCACTCCTGCCGCCGCAACTGAGGCGCTCGATGGCCGTCGGCCATCTTCTGCAACAACGACGCCGTCCCAGGGGCCATGTAGAGCCTCTTCACACGCTGGTTCTAGTCCGTGTCTACGGGCTGCGCCACGGGCGTCGCCCCTCCACCATGCACTAGCATCGCCCAACCGCGCTGCCAAGCGAGTCGGCGCACTGCGTCTGCCTTGTGCAGACTGTAGACGTCTGCCATCAGGATGCGCCACAGCCACTGCGGAAATGATGGCGGCTCCTGCAGGTGCGCCTTCCAAAACGCCACAACGTCCTCGAGTCCGTAGGAGCCCTTCTCGGAAGTCGACGTGGACACCCAGGCGCCGTATCTTTTACTGCGGACGTGGGCCTCCAGGGTGGCCTCGACGTCGTCACCCCCCCCCTGAACATGAACTCTGCTGGGGGCGGCCCGTTCTCTTGCAAGTCTTGCACGTCCGAGGAGACGCACAGGTTGGCGGTCCACCTGGCCTTGCTGTCGTCGCGTCCCTCGAGCAGCGGAACGATGGGCCCCTCGACGGCCAGGGTCTTCGTGGACGCCGTCCCCGACTCGTTGTGGTGGAACGGGCTCTGGCCCCAAACGAGGATGCGCGGGTCGTGCCCGAGCAGTTCCTCTGCCGCGGCCCTTACCCTCGCGACGTTCAGCACCATGGCCTCGAAGCGCGAGGCGAGCAGCCGCTTCGAGACTTTGTACTTGCGATTGGGCTTGCGCAAGCTCAGCCCGCAGTCTTTCCGCCACCTCTTGAACCACCCGGGCCGCAACGGCGGCGCCGCAGGCCTGATCCCCCACGCCAGCGCCTCCGAGCAGTACGTCGTGGGCAGGTCCTTGGCTTTGGTGACCAGCAGGGCCCGCGGGAGAGGAAGGAGAATAACTGGACTTGGAGGACAAAGAGGAATCAGAGGAGGAGAAGGAGGAGGACGGGGAGGTGGACGAAGAGACGAGGGAGCCTGCGTGCACCTGGCGATATTCCTCTGTCGTTGCTCCTGTGGAACTCCAGCAGTGGCGCGCTTCCAGTCCACGGCGTAGCGCATGTGGGACCACCACTCGCAGGGGGCGCTCGACAACCAGGGGCAATTCTGGGGCGCCCCTCCGCCGCCACTGCGGCGTCTCCTGGAGTCTTTACCCTTGACATCTTCATCTCCGCCGTCGGGTCGCTTCTTCCAGTTCATAAACCAGTTAGACAAGGTGTACGACTGTTTGGTATACTTCCACCCCTTGGGCCATTCAAACTTGGCCAAGAACGTCTTCCTGGAGCGATATGAAGATCTGCCCTTGCCGTCCCACCCGCTCTCCTGCAGGTGCTGCGTGTACGCCTTGCACGATATGTCGCGGTCCGGGATCATGTGCGGGTTGATGCGCCGCCTCGCGGGTGCGCCGTGCTCGGGCCTCTCGGGGGCCAGTTGGCTCTCCTCGTGCGCGGCCACCTGTTCTTCCTGCACGGGGGTGGGAAGTCTGTCGGCGATGGGCATCGCCACGCCGACGTCGCAGACCCCACAGGACCACTGCAGAACCTCCAAAAATGCCAGGGACCTTCTCGTGTGCAGACGGATGGGCGGCCGCCACTGCGGTCTGAGAAACGCCCCCCACCTCCGGCCCCGCCTGCCCCCCCTGCCCGCGACCCTCCGCCACCGGGATCTTCGAAGCAAAGGTCGTCGCGATCGCCTTCGGACTCCCGAAACTTCTGCACCTGCTCCGCTATGAGCTCCTGGGTGAGCACCAACATGTCGTGCAGCCAAGGCTCCTTGTACCGACTCATGACGTGCTTGTAGAACTCCCTGTCGATGCGGGCACGGGTTTCCGCGTTCTGTGGCAACTCCAGCATCTGCGCCATGACGTCAAGGCCGCACTCGCCGCCACAGACAGTTCCGAGTACGAAGCGCGCCCGATTTTGGTGGAACTTGTTCACCTCGCCGGCCGCCTCTGCGCCCTCGCGACCCCAGCCACTGATCGCGGCCGCCACCCAATGATTGACGTTCTGGAGGCAATCGACTGGCTCGCCCATGGCATCCTTCAAAACGCCCGCGGGCAGAAGGCCCGCAACTGCGGACCACGTCGCGCCTGGTCGGAGGACGCGCCACGCCCTCCACGGCGCAGGGCGTGCAACAGGTCTCCAGCGCCCAGGGGGCGTAGATGGCAAGGAGGTCTACGAGGCCCCCCCCCTTCCCACATCAGTGGGCGAACGTTGTAGCGCAGGCCACAGAGCACGAAGGCGGAGTGCCCGACGTACTTGCCGCTCGCGAGGATCTCCCGAGCCAGACCCAGCACTTTGAGCGGCACGGCGGCAGCCACTGCGGCACTGAGCGGTGCCCTGTCGAGGCCGCCACTGCGGCCCTGAGCGGCGCCCTGTCGGCGCCCTGTCGGCGCTCGGATGGGGCCTGATCCCGCCACCTCCGCCCCCCTCTTCCACCACCTCCGCGGCGGCGGGCTCGCTCGACCCAAGGCCGAAGCCAGCTGGGGGGGGGGGTCGTTGCACCGAGAGCCGCATTCGAGGAGCCCACCCTGTCCCTTGGCCAAGGGAGGGGCCGCAGCTCGACGTCGCAGAGGGGCGGGCGCGGGCTCCGCGGGCGGCGGGTGCAGGGAGCTCGCCACTGCAGCCAACTGTACAGCAGGAGCCCCTGTGGCTGGCGGCGTGGGCGGGGGGCTGCGGATTCCCTCAGACTCCGCGTCCTCTGCCTCGTTGGCCTCCTGAGGCTCTGGTTCCGCCTCCTCTGCTTCCTCTGCCTCCTCTGCCCCCTCTACCACCCTTGGCTCTGCCTCCTCAAGCTTTGGCCCCTCAGGGTGTGGCCCTGGCGTTGGCGGCCCTGGCGCTGGCTCATCTGGCGTTGGCGGCGCTGGCGCTGGCGCTACCTCGTCTGCGTGTGGCGGGGGTGCACCCCCCTGGCTGTAGCTCTGGCGGGGGTGCTTCATTTGGGGGTGACAGAGGCGGAGCCGCCGCCCCTGGCTGCGGCGCGGCTGGCTCCGCTGGCCCAAGCGCAGCGGCAGCTGGCGCTGGCTGCGCCTCTTGCTCAGGGGCGACTGCCCCTGGTGGGCGCCGATCTGTCGGTCGGAGATGCATGGCGGGGGGGGGGGGATGCCAAACTGGGTCGCTGGCCAGTCTGCCTGGCACGGTTCGTGCAAGCAGCAGCGCACCTTCAACAAGCCCACAGGCACCTCGGCGCGGCCACTGCGGCGACAGATGTTTACCATCCCTGTCTTGCCATACTGCGTCATACGCGGAAAAGATTGCGCCCCGGGGTTCTTCGCCCACTCGCGCTCGAAGTTCTCCCCCGCGAACGCGTCCACGCCGTGCCATCGCGCGCCCAGGCTGCGGCACGTGCACCCGCATGTGCCATCTGGCGGGCGCTTGGCAGGCATCGCTCGCGCAGACCCCCTGCGCGCGCGCCGCCGCCCGCTGGAGCAGCTCCGCGACGCGAAAAGGGCGTCGCGGACGAACGAGCGGGAAGGGGCGCACTGCGGAGGGCAAGGGGGGCAAGACCATTGGCTGGAGAGGAGCAGGCGGAGAAGCAAGCGAGAAGCCAGGGGGGGGGCGGGCGCAGGGACTGTGTTTTCCTTTCGGGCCGTCAAGGCATCACTGCGTGAATGAGTCTCACTGGCATTGGCGCCTGCGCCGCCGCGATTCGCCGATGAGAGCCCCGAGGCGAGCGCGGCGCCCACCGCAGGACAACGGCCAGGTACCGTACGGGGCCGCCACTGCGGCCTTAGGCCGCAGGAAGTTGCTGCATCAACGCGGCCATGGGCGCGTCCAGGTAGAGCCTGCAGGCCCCCTTCTTTTGCAGATGACTGGCCCTGCGCCAATCGCAGGGAGGCTCGTCGCCACTGTAGACTTGCAACCACTTCGCGCTGGTGAAAGTGGACAGCTGGCCCACGACAACCTTCCCGCGCGAGTCCCCTGCGCGCGCGACCGTTCCCTCCCGCGCGCCCTTGCATTCCTTGGTGGGGAACAGCCATCGGCGCGCGTAGCCGCCGTGCACGGTGTCCTGGGCACTGACCGCCTGGTCCGCAGGAGCTGGTGGACTGGCGGCTTGTGTCGGTGTCTGTGAGCCCGCGCTCTCTCCAGAGGGCAAGCTACTTGCGAGTCCGCCCCGTTAGCGGCAGCCGCCGCTGCGGCGTAGTCTTCGTCTGGGTTCTGAACCAGCGGGACCCCCGCCAGATCGCGCTCGGACCTGAGCCGCTCGAAGCTGCAGGGCACGTCGTTCTCGCGGATCCAGTGCTCGTTCTTCTGGAACGAGATCAGGCACACCTCCCTCTCGTCCGTCATATCGGGGAACTCGAGCGGGCACTTCTCACGCGCGGAACCAACAACGATGCGCCCCAGCACCTTTTGTTTCTTTTTTTTGCGATCGCGTCGGCCGCTGCTGGATCGGGCATGTCGGGCAGGTCGAGCAGGGCGCCCATGGCGCCCTCTCCCTTGTCGTCCTCGCCAGCCGCCACTGCGGCGCCCTCGGCTCGCGCCTGGGCCTTGAACGCGTCCACGATCTCCATCCACACGCGCCCCTGCACACACGCGCCGCGTGAATTCCTGAGCGCACAGCCGAGCGCATGGACTGCCCACGGCAGGCCCAGAGAAAAGTGGACGAACCTCACGCGCCCTGCGACGGCAGAGATCTCCTTCGTCTCCAAGCGCGCGCGCGGCCCTGTCAACCGACCGCCCCAGACAGAGAATCGCTCGCCCAGCTGCGCGGGTCCCCACTGGGGGGATGCACGCGCGCTCTTCGACTTCCCCATGGACGCCACTGCGTCGCCCGCCGCGGAAGCGGGGCCGAAGGGAACGAGCGGCCGCGCTGGGGCCGATGCGCTGCGGCGGCACCGCGCAGCATTGCTCTCCAGCTCAACATCCTGCCGCGCGGCGCTGCCCGTCACCCCCCCCTCCTACCATGCCCCCGCACTGCTCGTCCGACATCCTCCCTCCTCCTCCTCCACCCCGTCCTCCTCTTCCCCCTCCTTCTCCTCCTCCTCCCTCCTCTTTCCTCTCCTCTTTCCTCTCTCCTCCCTCCCCCCTCCCCCCTCCTCCTCCTCTCTTCCCCCTCTCCTCCGCCCCCTCCCCCCGACGCCCTCGAAGCCTCTGGCGGCCCCTTCTGGCGCCAGCGCGGTGCCGCGCCGGCCGCTGCAGCCGGCGCAGGGCCCGGGGCCGGGGGGCCGCCCCGAGGGGGGCTGGCGCCAGAAGGAGCCGCCAGAGGCTTCGAGGGCGCTGGAGGGAGGAGGCGGAGGAGAGGGGGAAGAGAGGAGGAGGAGGGAGGAGGGAGGAGGGGGGGGAGAGGAAAGAGGGGAGCGGGGGGCGTCCCCCCACTTCAGCACGCATGCGCCCCTCATTGTTCTCGCCGCCGTGCCTGCGTCCCCGTCCGCGTCGGAGCATGGGCGCCACTGCGCGGGCGCCACTGCGTCCATCGGAGCATGGACGCCACTGCGTCCTCCGCTTCAGATGTCCTGGCGGCCATTTTCGTCGAAAACGGTTTTGCGCTGCTGCGGCTGGCTCTTCGCCTTCGTTATGGCCTTCTTCGCGGCTGTCCTCCAGTCGGTCGGGGCCGCTTCCTTCTTCCTCTTCACATGCGTGTCTTCCATGATCAGTTCCTCGCCCGCCAGAAGATCCACCGCGTTGGTCGTCACTGGGACTCGGACGCAGATGACCCGACCGCAGATGACTACGTTCACTTCCTTCGGCGCGAGCTCCACGTTGAAACGCGCTCGCCCTGCCGCTGCTTCTGCGACGTTTCGCGTTCCAAGCTCTTCGGCCGTGAGCTTCGTCACGCTCCAGAAGGGGTGCGTGGGCTCCTTGCCCGCCCACTTCCACTCTCGTTGAGCGGGGCCCGTCTGCCCCGCGTCGTAGGGCGCCATGCTTTCGGGCGCGGTAAACTCTGGATGTATGTAGAAAGAAATCTTCACAGGCTCATCGGGGCTCTTGGCCCACACTGCCACGTGAACCTTGTCGCTGTGGCTGCTCGCATCCAGAACTTCGTTCTGCTTCGGCACACATGGCCACAACGAGAGTTTACCAGCCGCCACTGCGGCTTCGGTGCACACTTTCACTTTGTTAGTCGTTGCGTGGCGGCTCAGGGCCACAGGTAGGTTCGATTATGCGTCGTGTTCAACGCGCGAACAGAGCGCCAAGTGCTTCTCCCGTAGCACGTGCAGCACCGCTCCCATGTAGGCCTCCTTCTTGCCCATGTCCCTGGCGGCTGCCTGGCCCAACCGCTCCGCGACTGGCAGCGGCAACCACATCGATGGCCTCTCTTCCTTGTTAACGGTGGCCTGCGCGTTCTCGGGGCGCCCAATGATCGCGTTGAAAATGATCGAACATGATCGCCGCGGGCTGCGCGGCGGCCCCGCCCCCCTTTTCCTGAACCGACGCTGCGGTTGTCTTTTCTTCGGGCGGCAGCGTTGCAAAGTCGAGCCAGCTCCAGTCCTCCTGTGCCTGGAAGGTTGCCACGAGCGATGTCGCGATGTCGGCCCTCAGGGCCGCGTGGCGCGCGTGGGGAACACCCTCCATGAGCCGCAACTGCGGCCCCAGGGTTGGCTGCTGCGCGCCTTCGGGCTCGATGCACCAGCCCGGCGCCCCCGTCTGTTTGGAAGCCTTCTTGGGCGGCAACCTGTAGGGCCGCATGACGACGGCCACCTTCACGCGGGGGAACTGCGTGCTCACCTCGCCCGCGAGGCCGATCGCAGGCAGGCGCGACATTCTCGTGGCAGAATTGACGCGCGTCTCGACGAAGTCGATGAGCTCCCGTATGCGAGGGCCCCCGTCGGCGCCCAGGCTCAGGATGAAGTTGATGAAGTCGCAGAAGGGGGGGTCGGAGGGGAAGCTCCCCAGTCGGGCACCTGCCGCCTGCATCGCGTTCTCGTGGGCGATTGCGTCGCTGCCGTCTTCCTTTGCGTTCTTGATCTCTGTGGAGAGTACTTTCATCGCCTCCAGCTCCGACATCCGCATGGAGAACGCCTGTGGCCGATTAATGGCCCGGGCCATGATGGAGCAGTTCTTCTCGCCAAGCATGACATCAGGGCCCAGCACCTCGTAGAGCACCCCCTCCTTCACGAGTTTCTGCGCCACAGGGTCATTGTCCACCGCTGCGGACATCATCAGCAAGCCTGTGCCGACCTCGCACGTGGGCTGCAGCATTGCCACCTGCGAAGGGGTCAGGTCGTCTGCAGGGATCCCCCACTTTGCCCCCGCGTCGATGGCCCGCAGAATGATTGCCACATGCGAGTGCGAAAGCGTGCCGTAGGAGAACTTCGCCGCCACTGCGGCTGAATATTTCCTTAAGGCACCCTTTGGCCTTGCCCTTGGAGTTCTGCGCGATAGAGGTGTACCCCGCCATGCCCTTCTGCTTCTCCACGGGGAAGTCCCTGGCGCACATTCCCCCGAAGTCGGCTTCCGCCCGGTGGAACCCGACGCAGATGATCTCGCGCGCCAGCGAACGCACTCTGCTACAATTTGGGAACACACCAACCCTGTTAGCGGGGTGTGGCCCCAGCAATCGCACTGGAATCCTTTGCTTCGGGCCAGTTTTGCAGCGGCACCTGGGCTCGCTGCCCCGATGCATCACTCTCATTTCGGCCGCCGCTGCGGCCGCGACCTCAGCTGCCCCGCCGCCCTTTGTTTCATCGCTCACGGCTGGCACTTCAGCCCCGCACCAAGCGCGGCTGGCGCGCTCGGGCCCTCGGGGCGCGCAGGAAAACGCTGCGCATGCGAGCCCGGGCGGCCGCGGCGCAGGCTGAGGGAGGGAGAGGATGAGGAGGGGGAGGAGGAGGGGGGAAGGGGGGGAGGATAAGGATGAGGAGGAGGAGGAGGAAGAGGAGGAGGAGGAGGAGGAGGAGAAGGAGGACGAGGAAAGGAGTGGGAGGAACACCAAGACACGCATTGATAATTCGTAGAGTCGTAGATTCAATTAAATAAGAATTGGGTAACAATTCGAACATTGACAATGATAATAGTAGCGTCGAATCTCATAATATATACTGAATAACTTACATAAGACACATAGCAATGACTTGTCGTTAGAAGACGGTGAACCAGCATGCTAGTAACAGCCGTAGTTCGAAAAAAACACGTGCGACTATTACTACTAATTCGAATGCTCATATTAATGATAATGAGAATAAGAATGCTAGTACGAACGCTCATACTAGTACTCTAACCATGGCACGAACATACAAAACAAATGGTACTGGTACCACTAATGCGAATAATCATAATAAACACAGTAGTGGTACTGGCACTGAGGTTGCTATTACTCATACCAACACTACTGATCATAATAATGCTAAGAAGGCGGAGGAGGAATATGTTATTATATATAAAACCACATACGCAGACACATGCTTGGCTGTCTGCAGCTATTCGTGGTTCGGAGAGGAAAAATGCCCGCGCCCGCCCGCGCGCGCGCGTGCTCAGACTGCATACTCTCCTGACCCATCGGGCGGCGGGGCGGCGTCGGCTGCGTGGCCGCCGCGGGGCCGTCAGCGGCGCCACTCAAAATGCTGGGGCCTCAAGAGCAGGCTCGGGGTGGCGATGGTGATGGTGGCGGTAGCGGTGGCGATGGTGATCGTGATGATGATGTTTGAGTATGATGATGCTGATGATGCTTGATTATGATGATAAGTCGTGGCAATAATATAGTCATGACGGTTCTACTGTTAATTGTTGTTGCTGGTGGTGGTGATGATGAAAGTGACAATTAATGATGCCGGTGCTGATGGTGGTGGCGGAGGTGAGGGCGATGGTAATGTTGATGGTGCTGGATGTGCTGATGATATTATATTGGTGAAGGTGGTCATGAGTAGGTGGGGATTTTGGTGACGACGACGGTGGCGGATGATGATAAAGACGACGCCGACGATGGCGATGGCGATGGCCACCCCTTCTTGCTCCGACGATCGCTCGCGCCGTCGGTCTCCTACAGCCGTGTCGGCGCCAGTGCGGCCGCCGCTGCGGCCTGTTGCTCCCTGGTCGGCGCGCTAAAGGAATCCCTGGCGGTGGTTCTATCGCATAGGCTTCCTGGTTATAGGCGCGCAGGCATCTCCTGTAATAGTCCTCCTCTCGCTGCTCCGCCGACCAGCCGCTGACGGGGAAGTCCACGTCGTCGTCGCGGGGTCTTGGAATGCCCTGCGAGTCGAAGTCCACGCCCTCGCCGTCTTGGGGCGCCCGGTGGCGCCTCGACCATGAGCTCAGCTGTCTTTCGGAGTAGCGGGAGACTGGATTCTGAGGACCGTTCGTCATGGTGGCTAAGATGCTCCTTGCAGCCTCATGCGTATCAAACTCATACGTCCCCCATTTCTCAACCCCTGCGGCAGTCATGGCGCCGCCCACTACGACCAGGCGCGCCGCTGCGACCCTGCGCCGCTGGCGCCAACACGCAGGCGCTGCGCATGAACTCGATGTGCACCGCATTGTGCCGCGCAAGCTGAGCTTCTTGCAGTCGCTGCTCGGCGTCGAGCGCGCGCTGCCTTGCATGCATCAGTGCACCTGTCGCGCGGAGCATCTCCGTGCGACCGATAGGCGAGCGCATCTCGCGCAAGGCGCGCGCGTACGACTCAGGCGGCAAGCCGTCGTGCGACCAGAAAGGCGTTCGCCCATCTCGGTTGGCATGGTAAGCCTCACGGTCGCGCGTGCCCTCCCACCACTGCGCCCAGCGCCCATCATCGACGAGCCCGTGCCCCAACGACGCGGCCTCCCGCTCCGATTCCGCGGCCTCGATTACGCTTGCCACGTGGGAGCCCTCCCAGTCTCGTGCATCGTCAAACTCTGGAGCCGCCACTGCGGCTTCGCCCCCGGTGACGGGACTAAGCGTAACTTCGCCCTCGGCGACGGGACTAAGCGGAACTCGGCGCCCGCCACTGCGGACACGTTGGAATGTAGCTGCGGTGACGACCAACCACCTCGCGAGCAGCTCGCCCACCAACTCGGCCCCGTCCACAAGGAAGATGTCGTGGAAATCTCCTGTTCGGCCCGCGACGCGCGCGGCCGCCAGACGTTTGCGGTCGATGTGTTCTATGCCGGTGATCGAGGCCTCGCGGCAGCATGTATCGCAAATGGGGCCCATTCCACATTCCAGCGTCGCGTCAGGAATGTGGAATGGGACAGCATGCTCGCGGTCGCAGTAGATGCACATGCTGCCGTCGGGCAGGCTGCCCATATGTCCTTGCCAGCAGGCAGCTTCGGCTGCGGTCCGCCACTGCAGACCCCCCTAGGAGGCGGCCGCCTGGCCGCTGAGCGCGGGCGCGCGGGGGCGCGGTGGCGCCGCTGAACAGGCAGCGGCTGCGCGCGCATAGTTTCACACATGTACTGACGTATGCGTTATATGTGTAAGTATGTGTGCACACGATGGCAATGAGCATGACAGGTATGCTCATTTGCATGTGACCTCGCATACATATACATTTATATATATATATATACATATGACTACACATAATTATGTAATTGTCGTTAAAACATGTACATATACTCGTCTACTGTGTAAGCACCGAAGCATGTGACCATATACCACCATTAATTAGTCTACCAGATACCTTTCGGGCAGTGGTGGCAGTGACAAAGGCGACGACAGGAGGTGTTTCTTTTCCCAGCCGAGTCGCGCCACTCTAAGCGCTCTGGCGCGAGCCCGCCCCTTGGCGCCAGCCGCCACTGCGGCTCTTCTTCTTCTGATGCGCCCTCCTCCAGCTGCGCCACTGCTCGCTCGCAGTCTGCCTCGACCCACGCCCCTGGCGGCCGCGACCTATGAAGATCATGTTATGGTAAATGCCGCGGGGCCAGTGCGAGACGAAGGTGTCGTCCCTGAGCCGCTTGGAGACCACCTTCCCCAGGTTCGGCAGCGGGCGCAAGCCGTAGTGCGTGTTCTGGGCGAAGTTCTGCCTTGTCTCCGTCAGCCCTGCGATGCGGCGTGCCTCGACTGGACCCTCTGGATGCGCGCCCTCTTCGAGCTGTTCGAGACACTCGGTGTAAGCAGTGCGCCACTGCGCACTCGCCATCGGCACGTCGCCCCACTGCGGCATGGGGCTGCAACTGAAACGCCCGAGCCAGCTGCTTCGGAACTCTATCGGGGCCCCCGAGGCGACAGGCTGGGGCAACTCTGGCACCAGCACCGCCACCTGCCCTTCTTCCTCTCCGTAGACGGGGTGCTGCGGGTCGAGCGTGCCGAGCACGAGTGTAAAGTTGTGGTGGATGGTATAGTCAAACACGCCAGGCCCCCAGTCTTTGCGGAAGACGGCGCGGCAGGGCTTGTCCCCCGCGGCGAGGCCGCAACTGCAGCCTATGCGATGCAAGGCGCGTTCGTCGCAGTCGAAGAACCCGGTGGAGATGCGCGCGCTGCAGCGCAGCAGGTCCTCGATGATGTCCGCGCAGAAGTTCTCGGACCACGCGGAATGAAGGCCGTGGCGGGGGCCGTCACTACGGCCGCGGGCGAACCTGTAGCGGGCGGGCGCGGCCGTTCTGAAATGCGCGCCAGGGTTCTGGCTGGACTCGCGCATGGCGACGTCGAAGATCTTCGCGACGTGCGCGTCGCCTGTGGCGCACGCGCGGTTCCCTGCTGCATAACTTTTAACGCCTCGACGACGCGGGATTGGTAGAGCACGATTCCTGTCCTCTCTTTGAGGCCAACTATTTCCCAGTTGTTGTCGTCAGCTCGTCTTCTCTTGGTCGCTACCACGCCCGCCACTGCGTCCTCCAATTGTGCTTTCAATTCTGCGCGCCTACGCAACACTTCCCTCGCTTCCGCGTCGCGCGTCTGCGGGTGGTCGAGGAGCAGCGGGCCCCAGATGAGCACGAGGATGTTCGCTGGGCTATCGAGCAGTTTCTCGGCAACTTCCACTGCGGCCGTGGCCGCCACTACGGCCGTGAGAAGGGTGAACGATGGATCCACAGGGACTCGCCGATGCGGACTCCGATCCGGTGCTCGCCAGTCAGCGCGCGCGCGCAGCAGCGGGGCGCCGCGCTCCACGAAGTCGCCGAAATTGCCCCTGCCGTCCTCCACTTGGATCCAAGCTCTACTTCTCTGGCCCGTCAAACGCGCGTCGGCCACCTCCGCCGCCCACGGGGGATGCGCCCGCGTCGACGCGAGGGCGCTGCATGCCTCCCGTTTCGGCGCGGGTGGTGCGCAGCTGCTCGGCTTCGGCGTCGCGTGCAGT